TCAGAATTAAATATGCTTTTACACGATGAAAGTATGTACAAAAATTAATTGGAGCGTCGCACTCAATATGTGACGAAAGCGATAAAAAATTTTTAAATTAAAATTTCGAATTGACAGTTAGCGTAATATTTATCTAATACAAAAGTTTTCTAATACAAAAGTTACAGCTTGTATGTACTGAAACTCTAGATACTCCAATGAAGAAAAATTTATAAATCATTTCTAACAACTTAAAATTTAGATAGGAAACTTAAAACTTAACGATACAAAAACTTTGTAGAAAAATTTTTAATATATGCGGTTAGGTTCTCCGATAAATATGATAATGCAGAGCAGAAAAATAGTTTATGACTGTTCTCATAGCTAGCGCTGCAATTTTCCCGCAGATGTGATAACGAATAATCCGAATGTATCCATAAGTATATATGTGTACATATAAATAAACAAAATTCCTGGCAATTGTGTAAAGATTACATTGCAGTGGATGCACCGAATTAAAAATCTTTTCGTATAATGAATATTCCTGCCAAAATAAAGCGGAGTAATACAAATCGACCTTAAAAAACGATGGGGAACTATTGTGAATAGGACACCGACTTCCTTCTACCAACAAGGAGATGACGCAACCTGTTTCATCGATTTCAACACGAGTCATAGCACACTCGATAGCTATGATGCCGTGTATAAACGCCCTAACATAATATGCATGAATGCGTCTTTGTTTACGAGTAATTTGCAGTTAAAGTTTGGCTCGCGGAGCTGTGCCCCACATATGGCGCAAGTTACGACACTCTTTTACGAAGTCGGCGTGGCTGAACAGACAGAGGCTCCCGCGCCGCGAACACTTTTGCGCCGACGACGGCGTTCGAGTCCCGCCGACGACTGGTTCGTTTTTTTTTCGTATGTAAAGACATGTAATAAATATTTTTATATTGTTCTTATGTATAATTCCTTTTTTTGTTTCTACGCTATTAATCAAGGCTAATTAGGAGAGTCAGGTCTTTCAAATATGAACACAACTTTTTTATTAATTACAATAAAATGTTTTTTTCGTGTAAATCTATTTCGCATAAATATTTCGTATGGTATGGGAAAGAAATGGCCAGACAGTGATTATTTTGTGTGAGAGAAACCCGAGAGCCGTTAGAACCGTTACAAGTGGAAAGGAACCCTCTTCCCTTTCCCCTTCTCGCAGAGGGATTCTCATGTTTTGTGACGTGCTCGCTTCATCCTCTGGGCAGTCTTCATAACGTGAACCGTGAAAAACTTGTGTTAAAAATGGAAACCACGTTTGTAGATGAAGCAACGATCAGCTATGTGCAAAATCTAGCAAAATGTGATATTACGAAAGAAGAGTTGACGGACGCAATAGAATATCTTCGAGGTAAATATATTGAATGTGTGAGCAATGGAAAGATATATTTGTACGTATTGTTATTGGCCTTGTATACAATATCAATTATATTGAATTCATATTTGCAGATGTCCTGATACAATTTCCGTCCAATCTTGTTGACAGTCGCGAGGTATTTTACAACGTCAATTAAATATGTTTACCACCAACTATACATAGTCAAAAGTGTATTTGTGCAAAAAATTATGCGTTCATTACGTGCAGTTGGTGCAAAGAACTATTATGTTTTACATGCTTTTATACGGCATTCCATCCGCAGAGTTGCGACAGCATGACCACATTTTATAATACGTAACTTCCATTTGTGTGCCTTATATTTGTCTTATGTGTGTGTGTGTGTATGTGTTTTGATACAGACCAAAACATTTTATTGTAATTAATAAAAAGTTGCGTTCATATTTGAAAGACCTGACTCTCCTAATTAGCCTTGATTAATAGCGTAGAAACAAAAAAAGGAATTATACATAAGAACAATATAAAAATATTTATTACATGTCTTTACATACGAAAAAAAAACGAACCAGTCGTCGGCGGGACTCGAACGCCGTCGTCGGCGCAAAAGTGTTCGCGGCGCGGGAGCCTCTGTCTGTTCAGCCACGCCGACTTCGTAAAAGAGTGTCGTAACTTGCGCCATATGTGGGGCACAGCTCCGCGAGCCAAACTTTAACTGCAAATTACTCGTAAACAAAGACGCATTCATGCATATTATGTTAGGGCGTTTATACACGGCATCATAGCTATCGAGTGTGCTATGACTCGTGTTGAAATCGATGAAACAGGTTGCGTCATCTCCTTGTGAGAGACAGATGGAAAATCGAAGAGCCATTTCCGAAATTTTGCTTTTGCGGCATGAAAGAAATTCCTGCATCGAATTGTTACTGGCGATGAGAAGTGGATATATTTCGAGAATCCCAAACGCAAAAAGTCGTGGCTTTCACCTGGCGAAGCATCAACATCGAAGGCACGGCCAGATCGCTTCGGAATGAAGACAATGCTCTGCGTTTGGTGGGACCAGAAAGGAATCGTGTACTATGAGCTGCTGAAACCGGACGAAATTGTCAATGGGCATCGCTACCGACAACAACTGATCAATTTGAACCATGCATTGCTCGAAAAACGGCCAGAATGGGACACGAGACACGAACGAGTGATATTGCAGCAACAACGTTCCGTGCCATCGCACTTCTATCGTCCAGGACACCATCAAAACGCTGAAATGCGATCTGTTACCGCACCCGCTGTATTCGCCAGACCTGGCCCCTTCCGATTATCACTTGTTCCGGTCGATGGCGCATGGCTTGGCTGGGCAACACTTGGCCAATTTCGAAGAAGTGCAAAATTGGTTGGATGAATGGTTTCGGTCCAAAGACGCGTCGTTTTATCGTCGCGGTATTCATGTATTGTCAGAGAGATGGCAAAAATGTATAGCTAGCGAGGGACGATACTTTGAATAAACCATTTTTTGTATTTCTCTTGAAATTTTCCATTTTTATTGATCAAAAGAACCCGGAAACTTGGTTGCGCACCTAGTACGTGCGTGTTTATTTTCACTCCTGAAAGACATTTGAGCAAGTTCTCAGAATAAACTAGAAAATGGATTGAAATAAGATTAAAATAAAAAGAAAATAAAAGTCAGTCAATCATGCATGATGTATCCGTTCGAACATCTTTTGTAAACGTAAATTTCATTCAATAATAAAAATGTATTTTTATCGATTTTTTTTTTATTTTAAATTTTATTCAATGATCTTGTGTCGTGAGTTCTGAACTTGTTTCGAGCTCCTCTATTATATTATGGAAAAAGAACATATCGGACCCATTTAAAAAAAATGAAGATGACCTTGGTATCTCCGAAGCGTCTCCAAAAATTATTATCGCTATGTGATAGCCCCCTTCGTAGTGTGCGATTTTGGTTACACAAATTTTCCTCTGAGCCTTATAGATTCGAAGATATTTAAGGTCCTAATAGTTATTGCCTCACCCTGTATATATCAGCGAGTCGAAGAATCCGAGAAGCAGCAGCAAAATGCATATTTCGGAGAGAAGGCAAATATCGGCAGCTTCGCATTCACATTCATATAAGATCTGTGTGTAGAAAAGTCGAAATGATAATGCAGCACACACACATTTGTCCAAAGTCTGTGAGAAAAGATATATATGGAAAAATGCGATGAAAGGATAGCGTAATCGCATCAGCGCTTATCCGGCAATTGTCTTTACTATATAAATACTATGTAAATATATACACATATGTGTACCAAAATTCACTGACGTCGATAACAGATGATAACGTTCCCTATTTTTTGATCGCCTTTACGTTATCGACGCTTTGCAAGTTCGTTGACGACTTTCAGCATCCGCTTAAATGTTAACGATAAAGATCGCTCGGGAGAACCAAAGCGGCTTGAAAATGCAGATTTGTAAGCATTATTGGACAAAAATCCAGCACAATCCACTTCAGAACTTGCCAGAGTATTAAATGTTGATCACATAACGATTACTGAACATTTATATGATATGGGAAAAATTCGCAAAGGATAAAAATAGGATCCGCATCAATTATCAGAAAATGCTATTGCGAACCGATAAACAATTGCATTTTGTTGATCTTTAGACAGAAAATGAAGAATTTTTTGTTTCGAATGGCTACTGGGGATGAACAATGGATCTATTTCGATAATCCCAATTAACAAAAGATATAGATTGATTTAGGCCAATTAGCAATATCCATTTTGAAATGTAATATTCACGGTTCAAAGGTATCGCTATAAGGTATATATGGTGGAATCAAGATGATATTGTGTACTATAAACTGTTAAATTCGAATGACACTGTCACCGCTGATCATTATCGACAACAATTATACAAATTGAAACAAGCGTTGGGCCAAAATCTCACCAACTACGAGTAAACGACGCAAAGTGATCCTTCTTCACGACGATGCTCGACTTCATGTTGCATTATCAGTAAAGCAAACGCAATTAGAGCTGGAGTGGAAAGTTTTACCGCACTCTGCGTATTCTCCAGACATTGCTCTATCCGATAATCATTTGTTCCGGTCGATGTAACATGCTCTAGTGAATACACACTTTCATAACTTCAAACCAATGTGAAAATTTGTTGAAAATTTAATCATTTCCAAGAAAGAATCTTTTTATCGTCGCGGAATCCATCTCTTGCCAGAAAGATGGGGAAAAGCTGTAGAAAACGAAGGAAAATATTTTAAATAAGGTATTCGCTTATTATCTTATTTAAGTAAATCAGTTTAAAAAAAAAGCCCTCAAAACTAAATCACACACCTAATATAAGAGAAAACCGAAGAGACACTACTTGATCCGAGAGATCATCCATTTTCAAGCAGTCGTTTCTGCGAATGATAGCTGTGAATTTGCGCACGATTTTGCGACGACTTTCGCCGGGTATTTACAAGTCTAAAGTTATTCTATCGACGGCTACCTCTCAGCTAAACCATTTATCATTTTAACGTTTTGTCTCGACACGTGACCGACGAATCGCGACACATGGCAATGAAAACAAAATCAACAAGACAATGCGGACAAGATCCGTGCGAGGCAGGTCAGGATATTCAAACGGTCAGAATATCGTGTGCAGTCGACGGTGTATTCGCACGTAGAGCGTCGTTTTCGGATGTTTCGGCACGTCGTCAAATCAAAGAACTTAACCGAGGACCTTCTTTCGCCTGAGATAATGCTCACCATTTTCGCGCTCCTTATTTTAACGAGTGGCATGGTTACGGCTTGGCTGATACCAAAACAAATTTGGCCAAAACAAAACACATATAAAAATATTACGTCGATACGTGAGTAACCCTGTCATCGTCGCGCAAAATGATTGTCTTGAAGAAGAAAGATACACGATACCTCCGTTTGCTCTTTATGACTAGAACTCCGTTCTCTGGCAGATACGCGTAATCCAAAGTATCAATTGAACCGATTCGTGACTCTTCGAGACAAATACGAAGATGCAGTTATACCGTCCTGCTTGGCGGACAGAGAGAAATCGTATTGTGCGTCTTGTTTGCAGTACCGGATCTCTACAAGTGTGAGCGGACAATGTACACTATAAGAATTTGCCTTCCATACAGCATGGACTCGATAAAGTCATATTTAGCCTCTGGCAACCGGGATTTGGATTGGCCGCGTTTCGAGCCCTATTATATACCTGAATTACACCTCAACTTTGCACATGCAAGGATAAGAAGAATGACGCTCTTCAATATGAACATCTACGAAGTAACGAACTACAAGATAAATAACGTCGTGTAAGTAGTCGGCAGCGAGCGAGATCTCTGAGGTAACGCACGGTCGAGACACGGAACAATTATCCCCATTCGAAAATAGACGGGTCGATCGACGCTATTGTAACATGCTGATGCATGTTAATCTGCGGTGCGACGAGTCGCGTCGTACGTGACGATTGTTACCGTCGAAAATTTCCGAGCGAATGTTATGAACGATTGACACAACCTACTACAGTACTCGTCGCACGGCAACACCCAAAAAATGTATTCTTTTTGTAAAGTGATTTTTTTAGTCTCATATTCTAAGGGAAACCTTTTGCAGAAAAAGAATTCCTCTTTCGATAAAGCGGTTAAAGTGAACCATACATCTAAAATTTGTTACATATTATTTGAACTTTTTTCCTCTTATTTCAAGAGGATTTTCTCTTATATCAATTAATTTTCCTTTTTATATGAGGAGATATATGTTGATTTAAATGTCGACTACTTTTGTTCAGTCATGCTCTACCTCTAGACATGAACGAAAAAATAACCACATGCTCATGGGTCAAAATATATGGAACGCTTTTTAAAAATGCGTGTGTTGCTGTAACATATAACGAAGATAATTTATCCATATTTGATCAAATACAGTTTATAATCTAACATCTTTATAGCTATAAAATCCATAACGAAACTGATTGAAAAGGAAAAGGAGCTATAAGGCCGTTTTTCTGTCCTGCACGGAATTTACTCAAATTTTGCAGAAATAATCTGCATAAAAGTCTTCATAATTTCCTTAAAGCATTTATGAAAATAGCGTTTCAATTCGGAGAACGAGGCATTTTAAATTCTAGATTTTGTATGGGATTTCGTGTGCGATTTGGAGAATGTTTGTCATAATTCACTTTGTTATTGATTCACCCCAATCACACCAAACTTTCTCAAAAACTTTCCATAGGTATTATCTTCAAAATATAATATTGTTAATTATATTAAAGTAGTAAGTTGATCTTGTGTTTGCGTATCATCTTCATCCAATAACGCTTGCAGATCGGCGTTCTCAATTGCTTTTGGTCTTCCGGAGCGTTCCTTGTCCTCAGTGTCAAAATCGCCACTTCTGAAGCGTTTAAACCAATCTTCACAGGTAGTTTTCGATGGTGCATGTTCGCCGTAGGGCTCCTCAAGCAAACGACGTGCTTCAGCTGCACTTTTTTTCAAGTTAAAGCAGAAAAGCAAAGCTTCTCGCAAATGCTGTTTATTTGGCACAAAACTCGACATCTTCGTTGTTAGAAAAAATATTTTTGCGTTGCGATATATGTTGGTATTACGACTGGTTATTGTTAACAGATGTCCAAGCTATAAAAAAAAACATACTTCAGACATGTATGTCGACTACATGTATCGTTAGCGGCATCCATGTGTGAAACCCGGAAACTTAGTGTGTGTGTGTCTCAGCAGAGATAAAGACCCCATGGTGCGTCACTTCCATAGTACTAGGTGCGCAACTAAGTTTCCGGGTTTCACATATGGATGGCGCTAACGACACATGTAGTCGATATACATGTCTGAAGTTGTGTTTTTTTTATAGCTTGGACATCTGTTAACAATAACCAGTCGTAATACCAACATATATCGCAACGCAAAAATATTTTTTCGAACAACGAAGATGTCGAGTTTTGTGCCAAATAAACAGCATTTGCGGGAAGCTTTGCTTTTCTGCTTTAACTTGAAAAAAAGTGCAGCTGAAGCACGTCGTTTGCTTGAGGAGCCCTACGGCGAACATGCACCATCGAAAACTACCTGTGAAGATTGATTTAAACGCTTCAGAAGTGGCGATTTCGACACTGAGGACAAGGAACTCTCCGGAAGACCAAAAACAATTGAGGACGCCGATCTGCAAGCGTTATTGGATGAAGATGATACGCAAACACAAGATCAACTTACTACTTTAATATAATTAACAATATTATATTTTGAAGATAATACCTATGGAAAGTTTTTGAGAAAGTTTGGTGTGATTGGGGTGAATCAATAACAAAGTGAATTATGACAAACATTCTCCAAATCGCACACGAAATCCCATACAAAATCTAGAATTTAAAATGCCTCGTTCTCCGAATTGAAACGCTATTTTCATAAATGCTTTAAGGAAATTGTGAAGACTTTTATGGAGATTTTATTTCTGCAAAATTTGAGTCAATTCCGTGTAGGGCAGAAAAACGGCCTTATAGCCCCTTCTCCTTTATATGAAAATCAATAAGATTTGCATGATACATATAACATATAATTCCTCTAACTTTAAGAATAATATGTTTATAATATTTTCTTCTTAATCTTAAAGTTAATCTTAATCTTAATCTTAATCTTAAAGTAATCTTCTTGAGGCCATATATAAGAATAAAATCCTCTAAAATTTAGATGATTCCGGTTGTACTAAAATTACTTTATTTTGGATGAAAGAATAGCATAACTCAGTCGGACGAAATCCGATCTACAACGATCAGGTCGTCGGCACGGCGATGCAGTGTAAAGTTTTAACAGTTAACTTTTAACTATTGTTTCTAGAGCTGACGATAAAGTGAGCATGATTACATTCGACGCATACTTTCCAAGGATCTGCATGTACGCTCGCTATGACATAGAATATTTGGAGCATAATCGATACTTCAGGATAAGCGGCGACTCCATAAATATGCGATTTTGGGATGTCACTGCTACCATCGATATGGATGGTATATTTTATAATAATACAAATGGAGAAGAAATGTTCCGAGTGAGCAGAGTTTTGATAAAGTTCTCTGTAAAGGACCCACAGTTCTACATATATCTATCGGACGAAGACGACATCAAAACAATCAGTTCGTTGGCTGATTATATGAACAATAACACGGAAGAAATGGCGGAAGATATAAGGTTTGTAGTTAATACGATTGTTGCAGATATTATCAAGAAAACAGCCAATAGCATCTACACAAAATTTCCGATTAAAACCCTCATGCCTAATTATCGATTGTCTGATTATTGAGTGCGCCATCGTTTTAACTCCGCGACTCTCTGCAGCTACGATATTCAGTTATAACTATTAATCACCAACATAATGAATTGTGCGCGAATTATTCCTACCGAGTCACGTACACGCACGTACACACCGGTTTATGAAATGTCTTCTCCGACCAAGTCGTTACGTACATTAAATGATTACGAATGCGAATGACTGCTCGCGGATTTTCACGGCAAACGTTTGAGACAAAAATGGAATGATGTTGTATAATGTGAATACTACGTATATTTTTATTATATCGTATATTTTTATTATATCTTCACTTGATAAGGTAAAAATATAATGAAAATACTCACACCTTTCGCGAGTATTTCGTTAAGCTTATAACGTCGGACGTCGCGTCATATCGACAATATCATCTCGGCTTTTGTCATCATCGATCATCGCGCAAGTTCGTGAGCAGTCTCTTGGGATTGTAATAAATTTCACGCGTCCCTAACTTTAACGGAAAAAGTGACTACAAACCGATACACGAAGAAGAGTACATTTGAAATACGGTCCGCACACCTTTCTCAGTACAATTTGCAACGCAGTTGATAGTTCAATGAAAGAACTTGTTTTTAACAATCGATTCCTAGAAGTTAAGTTCTTTTATTGCATCATTCATACTGTGCTCCAAATTGCATCAAGAGAAAATGTCCAAACTTCGCATGATGAAAGTCAAGTAAAATCACCGCGAAAGTGATTATCGCGTATTATCGAGAACGTATCCGTTTTCTTTAGGAAAGAAAATGGATACCTGATTCAAAATAATTCTTTTCTACATACAGATAAAATAAAAATCTTGTTAACGCGTACGTAACATTGACATTTTCATTAACGTGAAAGCGGACAAACTGTACAGATTATTTGTATTTTAAGTAAACACAATAAAGGATTACGTACGTAACAAGCGAAATTTGCGGCAATACATTAATTTTATGTAACCTAATCTGCATGAGCGTGTAAATTCGATTTAATAACTCGTAGATATAGTCGATTGGCGCGAAGACACTGCAAGTCTGAGTGTTATTTTAATATGCATAAGCCTATAACTAGCTGAAGTATTCTTCGCAGTTTTTTCAGTCGTATTAAATCACGTCATATAATTCATTCAAACATTACATAACACGTTTAGACGCATTACATGATATAAATCGAGACGACAAGAATGTTATGAGGTAAATTTTAGCCAATTATACGCTTATGCGCATCAAAATAACACATTCGGACCTGCAGTGCAAATATAACGGTGCAAATAGACGTTCATGGTATCCGCCGAAAATTTTCTACATTTAGATATTTCATTTTAATATACATCATCTTTCGTGAAAGAGTACCGAAACAAAATTTATCGATATCCCCCTTAGAATTAAGATTATGAATTTAAGAGAACGCGGTTTTCTACTTCAAAAATTAAATATATCGATTCGTGTCATCAGCTCGCAGCGTGTTAAGGTAAGAAATAAAAGTTCCGATTTAATCTATCATATTATTTTATTCCAAATAATCGCTTCGACGAATGATGAAGGCGAAGAGTATTCGAATTTGCGATTGTTTTCGAAGTGAACTTATATATTTAGTATTATTCTCCTGTAAAGCGCCGTAACTCAATAATAAACAACAAAGCTGCTGACAGTCACGTTCAAAATATAATTACCAATATATAGAGTAAATATATTAGCGATTAATCGTTGAAATCATAATCATAAAATTGCTGATCAACTGTCAGATTCAAGCGTTAAAATCGCACGGTATGTCGGCATTCTCTTAAGTTCTAATTCAATCAAGGATTTTCGCGTAGGCTATGATATGTACTATTTTCGCATTTCTTACAAACTGTAACTCGTAACTATGAGCGTCTTTAAAGCGAGTATTGGACCAAAAATGATCATCAGTTGCGAATAAACGGCGCAAAGTGATCTTTCTTCACGACAATGCTCGGCTTTATATTGCATTATCAAGGAAGCAAATGCTATTGGAGCTAGATTGGGAAGTCTTATCGCACCCCACGTATTCTCGTCATTGCTTCATCCGATTATCACTTGTTCCGGTCGATGCAAGATGCTTTAGAGCAGGGTTTCCCAACTTTTTTATATAACTTTTTTTATATATCACACTCCTAAAAATTTATTAATGAATCTTTGCACCCCCTACAAAAAAGTTATTCGTATGTTTTATGGTAAAAATAGTTATTAGCGTTTTAAGATAAGAAGTTAATAACAAAAAAAATATTCAATTTGTTATTAAACCATAAAGAGTTCTGTAATGTAACGTAGAATATGCGATATTTATAACATAAATACACTTACTCCAAAAAAAATACGGTACACTTAAAATGTGAGAAAAATTTACCAAACATCAAATGATCATAACTTGGTAAATAATAAAGATAGAAAGGTCTTTAGAAAATGAAAATAAAGCTTGGAATCTTTAATTAAAGAATCGATTTATTCCAGTGTAGCGAGAAAAATTTATTGACAAATTATTGACAAAATTTATTGACAAAATGACGGATAACAAAGCGAGAGCGTGCAAAATTGAAAAATATTTGTTCGAGTTCGCCACGGCACATGGCGACAGTCAAGTGTCGTAACGCAATCGGATAAAAAGCATGTGATAGTACAAAGTCTCCTCTTTAAAATGCCTTTTTAATCGTTTCGATACGACGATTTAATTCGCCGAAAAAATTCGCATTTAAAGTAAAACACTGCTTTTTCCTTCAAATGTGAATAATTCGGCGAAAAATTATTGTATCGACACGATTAAAGAAGCCTTTTAAAGAGGAGACTCTGTACTATCACATGCTTTTTATCCGATTGAGTTGCGAGCCTTGACTCTCGTCTTGTGCTGTCGCAAACTCGGACTATTATTTTCCAATTGTGCTTGCTTTCGCTTCATCAACCGCCCTTTTGAGAAAAGTGGTCGGACATAATTGCGATATAAAATTTCGAAAAATAGAAATGCGAACCTTTAAAATGCTCTTGTACGATATTGCTAGCTGTATTAGGTACTAAGATATTCAATTTTGAATTTGTAACAACGTCGAATTACAAGAATAAGAATTCCGTTGTTCGCTAGCACCGCAATATTTAAAAACTCCAAACTGTCCTTGTGGATGTGTGCGTGAGTGTGTGTATGTGTGTGTGTTCATTCCAAAGATAAGGACCCCGTGGGTTGTCAACTCCTCTGTATTTCACGACTCCAAACCCTTCTTGTGGCGTGTGCGCGCGTGCGCGCGCGCGCGCGCGTATGTGTATGTGTGTATGTAAAAAAGAGAAAGAAAGAGAGAGAGAGAGAGAGAGAGAGAGAGAGAGAGAGAGAGAGAGAGAAGGGGGAGAGAATACTGTATTAGTAGCTAGTGTGCCCACCTCTTGCACGGATTACTTTCTCCATGCGACGAGGCATACTTCTTATGACCGTTTGAATTTCAGCCTGTGTAATGTTACCCCATTCAATTTCAAGAACTTTTCGAAGTTGTGGCAATGATTGTGGAGCAGGTATATGATTGTGTACTTTTCTGCCGAGATTGTCCTAAAGATGTTCAATGGGATTTCAGTCTGGATTCATAACTGGCCATTCGAGTCAGCTTTAATAAATAATAAATTGATGCTTATTTCCCTGCAGAAATCCAGAACTCTTCTTGCAACGTGTGGTCGCGCATTATCTTGCATGAATATGAAAGTCTCTCTAATGAAAGGCGCATACGGAATAATGTGGAGTATCAATACTTCCTCTACGTATACATCTGCATTCATATTCCGCTAGAAAAAAGCTAAATCCGTATGAGTATTGGCAGATATTCCTGCCCAAACCATGATAGAAGCTCTGCTGTAGCTGTGTCGTTCACTCATTGTGCAATCTGCAAAGCGTTCTCCAACTCGACGGTAAATCCGTTCTCGCTTATCTGGAAAGAGCAGAGCAAGACGAGACTCATCGCTAGAAAAGAACGTTACTCCAATCTGCATACGAGGGTGGTCCGATAAGTACTTAGCCTACAAAAGAAAAACGAAAATTTTGGAAAAGTGGCGATTTATTTCTCAACATAGTCTCCTTTTAGCTCGATACACTTGACCCAGCGATGCTCCAACTTCTTTAACCCGTCTGAAAAATACGTTTTCTCGAGGTCTGCAAAGCAGGCCTCCGTGGCGGCGATGACCTCCTCATTCGACTCAAATTTCTGCCCGGCGAGTGACTTTTTCAAGTTTGGAAACAAAAAGAAGTCACACGGGGCCTGGAGAATCTGGAGAATACGGTGGATGGGGCAGCAGTTCGTAGCCCAATTCGACCAATTTGACCGTGGCGAGGGCGGAGGTGTGAGCCGGTGCGTTGTCATGGTGGAAGAGCACTTTTTTCTTCGCCAAATGGGGCCGTTTTTTCTGCAATTCGGCGTCGAATCGGCTCAATAATTCGGCAGTACAGCTCTGTGACCGTTTTGCCCTTCTCCAGGTAGTCGATGTCACACCTTGTAAATCCCAGAAAACGGTGGCCATCACCTTTCCGGCCGATAGGACAGTCTTCGCCTTCTTCGGAGCACATTCGCCAGGTGAAGTCCACTGTTTCGACTGTTCGTTGGTCTCTGGTGTGTACCAGTGGATCCATGTTTCGTCGACGGCCACGAAACGACGCAGAAACTCCTTCGGATTGCGCTTAAACAACGTCAAACACTGCTCTGAAGTGGTCTCACGGTTGCGCTTGTTGTCCGGAGTGAGCAAACGCGGCACCCATCGCGCCGACAGCTTTCTCATGCCCAAAATTTCATGCAGGATATGACCCACGCGGTCTTTTGAGATGCCTACTGTCTCAGCTATCTCGCGCACCTTCAATCGGCGGTCTGCCAATACGAGATCGTGGATTTTTGTCATGTTATCCTCCGTGGTAGCCGTTTTCGAGGCACCTGGGCGTGGCTCATCAAAAACCGACGTGCGACCACGTTGAAACTCGTTAAACCAATTTTTGACGGTCGCCATCGAAGGAGAAGAGTCACCGTACACAGCAAGCGCTCTTTGATTTCGCTGCGCGATTTCCCTTCCAAAAACAAGAATCGAATCACCGACCGATATTGCTCTTTTTCCATTTTTCTAAAATCCGCGGACACGCCCGCTTCCACACGCGGTCAAAACAAAACTACGAGTCCGATTCGGCTGAAATTTCGACAGTAGCCGTCTACGAGAATGTACTACACGATAGTAAATTTCTCTTGCGATAGTGGCGCCATCGGGCGGTGAGGCTAAGTACTTATCGGACCGCCCTCGTACGTCCAATGTCTATGGTTGACTGCAAAATCGAGCCGAGCTACGCGATGATGACGCGTAAGCGAAGGTACACCTGCTGGTCTTTGTGCAAAAAGGTCGTTATCCCTCAATCGATTCCGAACAGTGTTAACGCACACAGTATTGTGGCGAACGTCCCTTAAACTGTTTCGAATTTGAACAGCAGTTTGATGACGATTTCTTAGTGAATTTAAAATAATAAATCGGTCATCCTTTTCATCGGTAGGGACGTTCCGAACCGGATCTTCGCTGAAAGGAATTGGTCTCTCAGTACCTAGTGTAAGCACGTTGTACGGCTAATACCGATAAGTCAAGTGACTGACCAACATATCTGCGACTTCTTCCATCTTCAATTAACGCCAGCTTGAGCAGCGACTTCAGGAGTAATCGTCGTCATAATCGACCAATTTGAGTAGGAAAATGTTATTATTAATATTACAATTAACATTACATCTTTGGGACAATCTCGGCAGAAAAGTACGTAATCATGTACCTGCTCCACAATCATTGCCAGAGCTTCGAAGAGTTTTTGAAATTGATGAAAGATCGCATTTTTGCGATCTTGAGGTAAATGCTGCAGTGATTGCTTCTAAAGGCATGGCAACAAAGTATTAAGTTTAAAAAAACGTTGACAACATTTTCTATTATTATTTTTCAATAATATATTTTTCAATAATATATTTTTCTTATGCATAAGAAAACTTTTTGGCGCAATACTTTTGCACTGTTTGTAATAAGAGTTTGTAATAAGAGTAAGTTTGTAATAAGACATTGTGTAAAAATAAAGTATTAAGAATTATTAAGAGTTTGTAAAGTTTATATAATTGTAGGACAAATGAATACATTTTGTTTATATATATATGTGTAAAGTTTTTAGCGCTCATTATGAAATGAATATATAATAATAATTGTGTGGTTCAAAAGTTTTGCACGCCACTGTACATGATACGTTTGCTCCTTGCGACTAGAACTCTGTCCTCTGACAAATACATTATGCGTAATCCAAAGTATCAATCGAATCCATGATCTTTCCGGGACAAATACTAACATGCAGTTATACCGTCCTGCTTGACGCACAGAGAGAAATCGTTGAGCGCATTGTGTGTCTTGTTTGCAGTACCGGATCTATACACGTGTGAGAGGAAAAGATACGCTATGCAAGATTGCCTACTGTTAAGCATAGCCTCGATAAAGTCACATTTGGTCCGTGACGTCCAAGATTTGGATTTGCCGCCTTTCGATCCCTATGAGATAGCTGAATTGCCGTTCAACTTTGCATTTGAAAGGATAAAAAGTATGATGCTTTTCAATGTGATCATCTACGGACTAATGGACTACAAGATAAATAACGTCATGTAAGTAATCGGCAGCGAGCGAGATCTCTACGGAAACGCACGATCCAGACGATTATCCCCATCCGGAAAATAGACCGCGACGGGTCGGCCGACGCTCTTATAACATGCTGATGCATGTTAGTTTGCGACGCGACAAGTTGCATCGTGCGCGACGATTGTTACCGTTGGAAATTTCCGAGCGATTGACATAACCTACAGTACTTGTCGCACGGCAAAGAATAGCACAACCTTGTTCGGACGAAACAATCTACAACGATCGGGTCGTCGGGACGGTACAGCGTGAAAGTAAGTTTAATTTTGTTGTTTGCAGGGCTAACTACGAAGTGAGCATGATCACATTCGACGCATATTTCGGACAGCTCTCTGTGTACGCTGACTTCATGATAGATTACATATCGGAGCAAAATCGACACTTTAAGATAAGCAGGAAGTTCATAAATATCATAGTCATCAATCATAGTTTTCATATCAGTCAAATATCATAATCATAGTTTTTGTAAATAACACTGCTACCATCGGTATAGATGGTATATTTTATATCAATGCAAATAGAGATGAAATGTTCCGAGTAAGCAACGTCTCGGTAAAGTTCTCTGTACAGGACATAAAGTTCTTCGTACAGCTGTCGTACCAAGACATCGTCCTAATTAACTCGATGACTGATTATATGAACAACAACACGGAAGAAATGGCGAAAGACGTAAAGTTCGAAATTAATACGATAGTTGCGGCTATTATCAAGGAAATAGCCAATAGCATTTACATGAAGTTCCCGATTAAAATGCTAATGCCTGATCATCCATCTGTGTGATTATCGAGCGCATTTGTATCACCGTTTTATCTCCGCGACGATTTCTGCTATTACGTTATTCTGTGATAACCGTTAATCGTCAGCACAATTAATTAAGCGCAAATTATTCCTGCCAAGCGACAACACGCGCGTACACATTAGTTTACGAAACGTCTTTTCCGACCAAGTCATTACGCGCATTAAATGATTACAAATGCGAGCAACTGCTCGCGGGCTTTCACGGAAAACGCTTGCGACAGAAATCGAATGATGTTTTAAATTAAATCTCTCTGGTTCATGTTTTTAGAAAAATTTTAATTCTTTTAATTCTTTAAAATTGGAAAAATAAAAAAAAGAACTCAATAAGAAGGAACAGTATTAAACCAAACCAAAATAGAGTTACTCTTATAATTATAGAAAAAATTAATATTTATCTGAATTTTGTCTTGATATCATCCGATGAAATAGTAGATCCTTTTGAATTCTATGATGAGTTTAGCTACAAGAGAAGCCTCTCAGATTCAGTTTGGATAGTCTAGGAATCCAGGAATTAGGGACGAATAGAATCTTTCTATGTCTTGGTCAAGTTCTAGATTTGAATTAAAATCTGAAATTAAGAAAAGAATTAATAAATAATCCTTCTGATGAATATATTCATTCTGAAAGGAACAACTTTCTCCTTTCCTATCGTAAGAGTTCGAATAAGAGGAATTTTCAATTATGTAATAAACAAAGTTTTCTCTCATCGTGAGATATTCGATATGTTAAAAGATAGTTAAATATCTTTTCACCCTTCGTGGGAAGTTTTCGTAAATAAAATCGTTTTATCGCCTCTCCCATCGTGGGAGTATCGTTATGAAATTTTCAAAATGTTACCTTGTTTTGTAAAACTTCACACCTTTATCTTTAATTCTGATTCTAAATATATATGTAATATTGTCCGAGTTTGGAGAAGGAATGAATTCCTGAAAACAAGAAAATTGACATTCGCCTCGCGTTTGACATTCGCTTAGCGTTGCCTCGAAACAGACTTGTTATAGTTATATAAAAGATATTCATATCGTGTTCAAAAAAATGTGATTCAAAAAAATATGATTCGATTAATTGTTCGATCTTACCGAATTTCTAAAATAGGTTTTTTAACATTTCCGCCCGTCCTCGAGTAATCATTTACTCGAATTTTCTTCTTCAGATTCGCATGGTAATACAGACAGCTTAGTTATTGGTTTTTTATATGAAGAAGTAGCTGTACGAACAGTAACTACTCGAGTAAGACCATTTACTCCTGGATGAAGTTTTATTACTCTTGCTAAAGGCCATTTTGAAGGAGGGCATCGTTCATCAGTTATTAAAACTAATGATCCTTTTTTAATTTCCCTTGAAGGATGATGCCATTTAGAAATTGATTGATGTCTTTGCAAACATTCTGATGACCATCTTTTCCAAAAGAAATTTATCTTTTGCTGTAATATTTCCCACCTAGATAATCTACGTATTTATGGGTTGAAATAATAAATTTGGTTCAGGTACAGTAGTTAATGCTTCGCCTATAAGAAAGTGAGCTGGAGTTAACGCTAGTAGATAAACAAGGGGGATTCTAACCCAAATTGCTAATTAATTATGCAAAAGACATTATTTATTAATTAATATTTTTTAATTAATACCTCCCTCTTTATTGATCCCTCCTCTTTATTGATCCCCGCTTTTTATTGATTCCCCCTCTTTATTGATACCCTCCTCCTCCCCAGAATTTTTGATTCTATGAGCAAGGCGGCCGTGACGTCACGAGAGAAAAAGCGTGCCGGGTGTTGCTAGATTCGAACCCGCGGGGGTTGCTATCGAACGCTCGAACCTCCGAGATCATTGCTGCCTGTTGCTAGTAGATGCCTAGTGAAAAGGTTCTTACAGTGTGTATGATGACGTCACGAGAGAAAAAACGCATCGGGATGTAGGCCAGACTCGGAACCTGGGCCCCGCGGTTGCTAGGAAGTTCGAGCGTTCGAACCTCCTAGACCACCGTCGCCTATTGCTAGTAGGCGCATAATGAAGGTTCTTACAGTGTGTATGATGGCGTCACGCATGCGCCAAAAGGAAAACAAAGTCGAAACTAGGCCAGACTCAAATCCCAGACCTTTCGTTTACTGTGCGATGGTCCTACCACTTAGCCACCATAGGTTAGGTTGGGAGGGAATATGAAACGTTCGTCGAAAGAGTATTTTACCACACCGACTCGCGCCGGGCACTATCCTCATCGTTCTGAGGAGGGGGAAGGGAAGTAAAATGGGAGACATATAGAATTAATTTATACATAATTTTATGTTCTCCAGAATATCATTTATTTGTTCACGGCTTCATACATTATATTTTTCACAGCGCATGCTAACAATTCAAAATCAATGAGCGACTCGCGGTCAAAGTCGCTGCTTTCTTGTATTGTTTTTGTTGCAGTATGTATATTAGTAATATAATTCTTCTTTTCACGAAGAATATTTACAAAATTTTTGAATTTTATACTAATTATACAGATATTTTCTGATAACCATCCATACGTGTGATTGATGCAATTTTCAAATGTAAATAATATATTTAACGTATCTGGTGTTACATATAAGCAATTATTAAAAATTGTGAGTTTCACAATTTGTGAGTTGTCATCTTACATGACGTTATTGTTAATTCTTCTATACGCATCAGGGGAAACGATGACTTATAAAAATTGGCCTGCAGAAATCTTTGGATGTCAGCACGTTGCCCCATTAGCGCATTCCAAGTTTTGATCGGCAGTAGCAGTTATTAACCACGATTATCATCAATGATTATGTCTATGACGGGCTCAGCTCCTACGCTGATTCCGATATTCAAATATTTATAAGCAGTTGCAGTCAAAGCGTATCGGCGTCCTAAGATACGCATAGCAGGAGGTCGTGGAACGCTGAAAAGATATAGAACATTTACATGTCTGAATCTTGGAAAAATTACTACGGATAAACTAAAAGAAACAGCATTATGACACTCACCTCTCGCACATTTTCTTGCTCGGTGGAGCCTCGTCCTCATGTTGAGCAGGCATGTAATAATTTGCGTGTTTAGCGTTCACTTCAGCATCGGCAGCATACATTTTTACTATGTAGACACACCCAAACTTTACTATGTAGACACACAACCGATGAATCTCGAGTTCATAGAGCGACTGAGAGACAGAAGTTTTTTTTCCGAAGCCTAATATTATAGCTACTATAGGGCATCCCCTCTCTTACTCTTCGGAGTTGCAGCGCATGCGCAGATACATTCTTCAAAACAGGAAAGTAAATAAGATACAGCTATCTTTGGTTTAGACTCGGGATAGCATTAGAGATGTCGCTTCCGAACGACATCTCTAATCTTTTAACAATATCAGGGGAGAGGAGAATGTCTTGACTATGGAGCGGCAGGTAGCTCAGTGGGTTTAGAGCAGTTATAAAATAAAATTAAAGAAAGCAGTGATAAACGTACGAACTAAAGACAATGCATGTTTTGCATGGTCTTCGGCATTATATCCAGCTGAAAGACATGGAGACCGGGAATCTTCGTACCCACGTTACACCAAAATATTCAATCTTCAGGATACTGAATTTCCAATGACGATTAAACAAATTACCAAGTTTGAACAGCTAAACAACATATCCATCAATGTATATACCATTCAAGATAAAAAGAAGCAAGAAGAAACATGTACGATCGTTCCGATACGTCTCGCCAGTAAGAAGGAAAAGCATGTAAATTTGTTATATGTGCAAGATCCACGAGAGAATATGGGACATTTCGTGTGGACCAAGAATTTGTCACGTCTTGTGGACATGCAACTAAGTAAGAAAAAATGCAAGAAATATATATGCGATCGGTAAGGAGATATTCACCATAAATACAATATAACAAATATGATATAAAAGAATAACTCGTAATATCCATTTCTTTTCAGTTGCTTGCATAATTTTTATTCCAACGAAAAACTGGAGAATCATATCATAGATTGCAACAAGTTGAATGACTGTGCAGTCATCCTACCAACAGAGGCCAACAAGTGGCTCAGTTTTACCAATTACAGCAGAAGGGAACGGATTCCATTCGTGGTGTACGCTGACCTGGAATGTATTTTAGAGAAAACGCCAAACGAAAAGAAAAAATCGTATGTGTATCAGCATCATAAAGTACATAGTATAGCTTATTACGTACGATGTTCCTACGATGAATCATTATCCACGTATCAGTATCGTCGTGATCCGAATTGCATTTCGTGGTTCGTCGAGGAACTTAAACAATTGGCGCATCGTATAAAAGTTATTTTATATAATAATATCCCTATGGCAATTTCATCACAAGAACAGTGTGCAGCATTTTATAGCGCAACGCACTGTCATATATGTGAAAAATCATTCGCGGTGGGGGATATACGCGTACGCGATCACTGCCATTTAACCGGACAATACAGGGGTCCGGCACATTCAACATTGTAATTTAAATTATACAGATTCCTATTATATTCCGCTAGTTTTTCATAACTTATCAGGTTATTATTTTATTATTAAAGAAGTAGCCACCGCGTTCGATGGTCCCATCGATACTACCAATAACGAAAGAAAAATAAATTTCATTTACCAAACATATTAAAGATACAACAAGTAAAACATCAGACTGGCGAAATCATATTAAATTGCGGTTCATTGATTCGTACAAATTTCTCAGTACCAGTCTCGATAAATTAGCATCGTTTCTCACTAGAGACAAATTAAAAATTGTTCAATCCGAATTTAAACACTTATCCGACAAAGATTTTGATTTATTAACGCGAAAAGGTGTCTTTCCATATGAATATGTGGATTACAATGACAAGCTGCAGGATCAATGTTTACCACCGCGCGAGTCATTCTACAGTTCGCTGACAGGTGATACAGTATCTGAGAGCGATTACATGCACGCCGTGAACGTATGGGAACGGTTTTCTATTCAAATCTTAGGCGAATATAGCGATTTGTACCTGAAGACTGATGTTTTGTTATTGGCTGATATTTTCGAAAATTTCCGCGATAGTTGTATAAAAAGTTACGGTCTAGATCCTGTGCATTATTACACATTGCCAGGTTTCACGTGGGACGCAATGTTAAAACATACAAAAATTAATTTTGAATTACTTACAGATATTGATATGATAATGTTTATCGAACGCGGTATACGTGGCGGTCTGAGTCAGTGTTCCGGTAGATACGCAAAAGCCAATAACCAATACATGCAATCGTACGACCCATCGAAGCCATCTTCATACCTCATGTACTTTGATATAAATAATTTGTATGGCTGGGTAATGTGTCAACCATTACCATACGCCATACCATATGAATTTAAGTGGGTTGATGATACGTCGAATTGCGATTTATCATCAATCCCGTTAGATTCGCTCACAGGTTATATTCTCGAGGTTGATTTGGAATATCCCCAACTTGCATGATGCACACGCAGATCTACCATTCTATGTGCTATGTACTACGCGAACGAAGCCACCGAACAAACGGCAAGAAAAACTCCTTGCGACTTTATATAATAAGCAGTGTTATGTTATTCATTATCGCAACCTGCAGCAGTGCATACGCCATGGTCTTCGTATCGGAAAGATTCATCGCATATTCCAATTCACACAATCTTCATGGCTGCGCAACTACATAGAATTAAATACGCAGTTTCGAACACATGCAACAAACGATTTTGAGAAAAATTTATACAAATTGATGAACAACACGGTATTCGGCAAAACAATGGAAAATGTTCGCAATCACGTCGATGTAAAACTTTTGACAAAATGGGATGGACGATACGGTGCAGAGGCAATGGTCGCAATGCCCAATTTTCATAGCAGGAGCATCTTTTCAGAAAATTTAATTGCAGTTGAATTGCGAAAACTCGAAGTGAAATTCAACAAACCGATCTATATAGGTATGTGTATTCTCGACATATCTAACAAGGGGAGGACGCATCGACCGGGAAGCGGTTTGGAACGAAACTTACGGAGTTAATAGTACTTGACTACTAATAACTCATGGTAATAGCATACGACGCAATACCTCTTCATTTTCGAGAAAAAACGGTCTAAAGAAAAGAGCCAACAAAGTGTACGAGTTAGTAAGAAGGGTATTCAACGAAGCGGCGTAGCGCAGCAGCGAAGGTAACGAACTACCGAGCTGACGGCTGAGGTCCGATCCCTGCTGTATGGTTTTTTTTATTCTGTAAGCATAAAAATGAAACAGAAAACATTAATAATTAATAAAACTGTGTTTCTTAAATATATTAGTGTTTGTTAAATATACTATTAATAATTTAAATTGCAAAAAAACCGTAAATCTTATCTATAAAATATATATGATAAAATATGTATGAGAAAATTTTTATATAATAATTGCAATGGAAATAGGAGTAAAAATATATTATATTTTCGCTGGAGGATTTTTCGATAATAATTCATTATTCTCGTAAATAGAATTCACATATACGAGAGCATTAGTGAATTCACCTTTAAAATCTTCATTTTCAAAAGATCTTTCTTCTAGCGATTCTACATCAACTATTTTGCTTATTGAAGGATTCCCTGACATTGTTATGATATATGTAATTTAAATATGATCACCGAATTGCTCTGTATCACTAGTAAACGCACACTGCTGCTTGCTCTACTGACGACTGTTCCGATGCTCGAATCATTTCGTCATTCTTAACGATCGTTTAGAATGACACAAAGGAAGTTTCTGGAGGGGGATTGCCAGAAGAGATAAAGACACAACACAACTTCAACACAACACGACTTCTACACAATATAGAGAGTTGTAACAGAAATAAATATTTTATATATACAATATATATAAGATTACGAAAAATCATTTCATACTAGTTTAACCCTTTGCGATCGGCCGATTTCGAAGAGATCGATAAACATGGATATCTGTAAGTTGATCTAAACATTTGAATCTAGTATCGGGAGGATAGTTTTCTTTCATTATCGTTAAGCTAAAGCTAAGACTCCATGCATGCGGTGAGCTGCGGCAAATGCTGCGGTGACCAATCAGGAGGGAGGCGCAGGTCCGGTTGCGGCAAGCTCCGGCATGCCGCACCGCACTGCGTTGCGATTAAAATATTTTAATTTTTCTGCACTGTGCCGCACGTCATACGTGCGTCGAATGAATTTGAGAACGCAAAAAGTAGTGAATTTACAACCATCCTTTTTGTAGGTTACGTTATATGTCATACGATACACAAACATGGATCTAATAAGTGAGGATTATTCATGTACGGAATATAGTACTGAGGGTATCAATGAGTTAATAATCCATTATGTAAGAAACCGCCCACAATTGTGGGATTTGAAAGATAAGTGCTACCGAGATAATGGTCTGAAAAAAAAATTGTGGTGTGAGGTTGCCCACGAACTTAATATGACTGGTATGTATTATTATTGTGTTATTATTTGAATTATTAGTACATATTATTTGAAAATGTGTATAAAAACAATGTATATGTATGGATTATATATGGTTTTATATAATTTAAATAGAGGAGTTTGTGAAGAACCGTTGGAGAAATCTTCGAGATCGGTATATAAAGGAGAAAAAAAGTCTGTAACAAAAAGTGGGCAAGCAGCTGTTCATTTTGTACCATGGTCATTTATGGAACATTTACATTTTTTATCCGATACAGTGGAACCTCGCAAGTAAGTGTTATACTTTCTTCAAATGTGAAGTTATAATAATTTTATTGTAGTTGATACAAAATTTATGATATTAATTTTCATTTTTATTTCAATAACGAATGTAATTGTCAGTTTCTCATTTTCATAAACAGTATGCTCTCAAGTAAAGTAATAACTGTTTTATAATGTCTCAATTAGGACTATAACAAACTTCGAAAGTTTAGAACATCCCTTATCTAGAAGCGATACATCACCAACATCTTTGGAGACTTTTCAATCTGAAGAATATATGTACAACATACAAGAAGAGTTTCAAGGTAAGAGGAACAAAAGATAGTAGTGTAAATAACTCTATGCTAGGATGTTATATGAAAGTATTTGAAACTGTCCTACAGTTTTTGTCCTACAGTTCCCCTGTACCTGTATCAACAATATAACTATTATATTGTTGAGTAGGAAATTTTCTTTATAAACAATTTTCTTTATAAAAGAAAATTGTTTTTAAGTAAAACATATTTTAATAAACATTTCATTACATTCTTTTAAACATTATTTTACAGACAATATGTGGGATAACATAAGACAGACAGAACAAACAGATTTTTGTTCACCGCATTTATTAAATATGCCGTCTCGTCCTTCTAATAGTGCCTCTCCTCGTCCTAATAATACTTTGTCTCGTTCTAACAGTGCTTTGATTCGTCTTGATAGTATCTCCCCTCGTCCTAATAGCGCCTCCCCTCGTCCTAATAGCGCTTCCCCTCGTCCTCATTATGCCTCCTCTCGTCCTAATAGTGCTTTTCCTCGTCCTGATAGTGTCTCGTCTCGTCCTCAGACTAGTCATCGAATGAGTAGTCATTCTCAAAATCAGCCTACAGCCAGCAAATGTGCAAAACGAAGTAAATTAATATTTTTATTAAATATATATTTCTTTATTTGTGCAAAATTGTACGGCATATTTAAATTACTTAATTAAGAATTAAACAGTTTGTTCAGTGCGTGTACATACATGCACTGTATAATAAGATATTCAAGTAAATCAGTTGTAAAGTACACCACTGAACAAACTGTTTAATTCTTAATTAAGTAATTTTAATTTAATTTATTATATATATAGTTGATTAATGTGTCAATTTCTATAAATAATAATGATTTTATACGACATAATTGCAAAATTTGATAAATATATATTTATATTATTAATGTTTATTTTCTTTTTCAGCAAAAAGACAATTGTCTGAAACGGGTATAGATGCGGTTGATGAAGCAATTTTAAATTTAGTGGGAAAACAAAATTCGGCAGATACTATGAATTCAGACGATCTTTTTTATTTATCTATATCTCGGGATTCACAGCAACTTAAACGCAAAATTACGCTTAAAGACACTTGTACTACAAGTACTTTCTCAAGTTATAACAGAGGAACAAAATAAAAATTAATCGATTGCACTTTTATATTAATTATGTGTTTCAATCAATTTACCTTCTGCCTGTTGCATGTATGCTTCTCGTTGAAAGTTTGGTAGCTTATTCCATTGCCAAGGTACGTAACCTTCCTTCATAAAATAATCTGCGTACGTATTTCGTATTATCTTGGCGTCATTTGCTGAGTTTCTTCTTATATTTGGTGCTAAATCTCTAAGTGCACCAGATGGTGCTTCGTTTCGCCATTGACCAGGTTCTACATTTCCAAAGCGATCTTCTTCATCTATAAATCCTACTGGAATATATTTTCTCTAACCAGGTAAAACTTTCAGATTTGAATCTCGAAGCCAATTGTGCAGTGCCACACAACTTTTAACTATATTATCTACAGTTGAAGGTGACGCTACAATTGGTCGTCGAAATATTCTCCACTTGGCTGACATTACTCCAAATGTATTTTCAACTACACGCCTTGCTGTACTCAAGCGGTAATTGAAAATAACTTGTTTTGCACTCAAGTTAACACCAGGGTCGTAACAAATTATTCAATAATGGGAATGCTGCATCACCAACAAATACAGCAGGAAGGCAAATATTTGTACCTGGTAAGGCTTTAGATAGTAATGGCAGTGTATTTGTCTCAATGCATCTTCCAAAAACCAGATTTTGAAAAATACCTCCATCACTTTCTCTACCAGCAGAACCAATGCTTACATATGTAAAGCGAAGATTAGCATCAGCAACTCCCATTAAGACTGTGCTGAAAGTGCCTTTATAATTGTAAAAAGCTGATCCTGTATTTTTAAAACATTGTATAGTAACATGTTTTCCGTCAATTGCTCCGACACAATTTGGAAAATTCCATTTATTTTCAAAATCCTCTGCAATTTTGGACCATGTTTCCACACTTGGCGGAGGAAGTACTTGAGGTTGCAGTACCTGCCAAAGTGCTTTCGTTGTTTCTACAATTATCCGTGGCACAGTAGATTTACCTACGCGGTAGAGGTAATGTAGACTTATCATACTATCTCCAGATGCAAGATATCGCAACATTAATGACAAGCGCAGTCCTGGATGCAACGGTTCCCTTGTCACATATATTTTTGAAATAATAGGTTCTATCATCGTTAATAATTTATCAAATTGATGAGGTAACATGCGATGAAAATTGAAAAAACGTTCTGTGTCACGTCGAAGTTCAGCACAAGATTATCGTAAGCACCTTGAAGATAACGTTGCTCTATCATAGGATGAACCCACCATCGAGCTGTTCTCCGAATGACTTGTTCTTGCCTTTTTAATCGTCGTTTTCTTCGCAGGTACAAAGCAAAACAAGCTTTTCATCGCGATTCATTCTTATTTTATTATTTATTTCGATTATATTTTATTTTGTTAATAATTTTTATGTTTTGTTTTGTTAATAATTTATTAATTCTATTTTGTTTTGTTATAATTTTACATTGTTGTCACTCTAAGTGCTTTTATATACACAATACTATGGGCTGCGTTCCAAAACATCAACGAATAGAATAACCATTGATT